ATTTCTCCCAGGGGGCCTGTCCTTTTTTCCACATTCTATATACTGCCGCCTTCTGCTTGAGCATTGCCACAAGCTCCTTGCTCATCCACGCAGGTCTCCTGCCCCCTCTGCCTGACTTCTTACACACAGGGATGCACTGTTGCTGGGTGTGGAGGAAGTGCCGCTTGAAAACTAACCAGCTCTCTTGGGCACCCCTACCTTCTAGAGCTTTAGCCCATGGGATTCTTCCAAGGAGGAATGGCCCTCCTGAAGTCCATGGTTGCAAGGCTACTTACAGCCCTGCCACCTCCTCGTTGGATCCTGACCTCCACCAACTCATGGTCACTGCAGCCAAGCCTACCCCCCACCTTCACATCTCCTACAAGTCCCTCTCTATTTGTTAGCACGAGGTCCAGTAGCCCACCTCTCCTCGTTGGCTCTTCCACAACCTGGGTCAAAAAGTTATTGTTGATGCTCTGCAGTAACCTCCAGGACTGTTTGTGCCTGGCCGTGTTGTCCTTCCAGTTGATGTCGGGGTAGTTGAAGTCCCCCATGAGAACCAGGGCCTGTGACCATGAGGCAACATCCAGCTGACTATAGAAGGCCTCATCAACTTCCTCGTCCTGATAATTAGTTATTATAATTAGTTCCGGGAAATAATTAGTTATTATAATTAGTTCCAGGAAATAGAATGAATATGTATGATAATTCCAAGAATTTAATGCATATGTAGATAATTTAGAAATAAAGGCTTTAGCAAACACACCTTAGGGTGTGCACGATAAGTGGATCTATCCCCCGTGCACCCAGCGCTGCAATAAAGTGAGTGCCTGCTTCTTAATACTACATTGGTGTTAAGAGATTTTTTTTCTCCCGGTTTTTGGTGACAAGTATACTTAAGTATTTCCAATACCTGTTGCCATGTATGAAGTAAAGCATACACATAAGTGTTTGCAGAATTGGGGCCAAAATTTGGAAGTATTTTGGACTTTGATACAACAAACACTTCAGTACATATTTAAATAATACTGATTTCACTGGAGTTGGGCATCAATAACTATACGGTATCCCTGAGCTCCAGTTATTATTTTTGTTATCTGGCTGCAGAAGTACCCAGAGGCACTGACTGATACAGTGTAAAATAGAGTTGTTTTATGAGAATCACAGAATCATTATGGTTGGAAAAGACCTTCAAGATTGAGTCCAACCGTAAATTCTGGCCTCTGGTACAAATCTTGACTTCTGCTGTCATTACATTTAGGATAAACATCAATTAGCATCTGAGCGGATTTCCTGTTTCAAATCAACATACACCAGGGGAAAAAAATAATAAAAGGTAAAAAACAAGTAACAGTGTCCATAAAAGTAAGTACAAAGTACCGCCATAATATTTCCATATGCAAAGTGCTTGATATTTGTAATGAATCTACTGATATTAGGTAATTAGTGCACGGATCTAGGTGGATTTAGAGAGTTCCTGTTGGGAACACAGCTGGCACAGAGCTGCTCTGGGCGATCACCTTGGGTTCCATGTTCTCATCGAGGCTAGCAAGTTTTTACATAGTTTATATATATATATATATATATATATATGTATATATGTATATATTTCTATGCATACTTAAATATTTCTCAGCCGTGCTGCACGAGGAGCGCTTCCTGCGACACGGTGAGGTGCCATGGCAGGCGGGAAAGGCAGGGGTTGTGGCTGCAGGACCCTCCCCCCCCCCTTTTTTTTTCTCCTTTTTACAATTTTATTTGGCTTTCTGTCACGCACTGCGATCTGGTCATCATGTGAGACACCCCCAACACCTTATTTTAATTTAATTTAATTTAATTTACTCCATTTTTTACTCCATTTAAAAAAATCTATTTTATTTTACTCCATTCTATCCTATTTTATGTCGTTCTCCTGGGAAGCGGCAGCCCAGGAGCGAGGCCTGGCCTCTCTCCGTGCCCAAGCTCAAGAGCTGAGAGCAACATTGCAGAGAACCAGGTGCAATTAAAAAAAAAAATAAGTCATTTGAATACTTTCTTAATACTTCTGCTTCTTCCCCTGCATGTTGCCATCCACAGGCACGGCCATTTCCAAGCATCTTTTCCCATTACAGCATCTTGCGTTGATGGCTCCTCTGCTGCTGGGTCCCGCGGGAGCTCTTTGCCAACCTGCTGTCATGTTGCCCTCTGAGAAGCTTCCTAGTCATTTTGCTGAAAATGTCCAGTTTTGCATTTTAGACAAGTTAGGAAAACCATAATCCCCATTTAGGAACCTATTCTGACCATTCTCCGTTACGTAGCAGTTTTCAAACTTGTGCTGAAATGTCATTTCTTACCCAACAACTCTTTGTTCTTCTATTTTCTGGTGAGGGACTGCAAGCACATGTAGGGTTTCTGTTTTGGCTAATTGATACATTTATTTATTTATTGAGGTCCAAATAAACTCGTGTGGTTCTCTGACATACAGAGACTAATAGTGAGTAAAGACTACTTTTTAGGTAAGAGTTTCCTTCAGCAAATGAAATACTGATCTGTCATTACTGCCACATTCGTTAAAAGGTTTAGCATTTTTCAATACATTGTTTTAAGCAACTCAGGTGGCTGGGAAATAAAGCTGATTGCTTTGTAATTTGTTTTCTAATGTCAGCGATATCACTTAGCTCCTCGAGACAGATCTCTGGTTAATGCTGCTAATGCTGATGGTTAATAGCACTTGTTGAGTGGGTGACGTTTTTTAATGTGGCTTTTTGTGACACAGTTGGTTGGGGAAGTGATCAAGGGATTGGAGGATTTGGAGAAGAACCAGGAATTAAAGCACAGCTAATGAACCTTATTCGATCTGTGCGAACCGTTATGAGAGGTAAGGTGAAGGTAATGCCTTGTTACACACCTGTTGGCTGCAAAGTTTTGTTTCTGTGCTTTAAAGTACAGATTTTTTTTCCAAATCTCAGTGTTTAATTCTTTCTCTTCTTGACCAGCTGCCATTTCTGCTTGCCATTTTCAATCTGTCCTTCCTCTGGATCCTTCCTTCCTTCCTTTCTGCATGAACTCTGCAGAGGAGTGAAAAAAAAAATGAGAGAAGACTATCAATGTGGAAGTTGCTGATATTCAAAATGTACTGTACTTGCACAGACAAACAGCCTTCAAATAGTAACAAACCCTGCCTTTTCTCCTGCCCAGCAAAGAATATAAACTGATGGTTTTGTAAATCTCAGTAGAAGCAAAAGAAGAAACAGGCTGTGAGTCAGTTTAGTTCATTTGGAGAAAGGGTTGTTCAGGCCAGATTTAAAACATGGAAGGCTGTAAGAGTATTTCTTCTGTGGCTTCTTGTTAATTTTTGGTATTCCAGACTTTGATTGTGGCTCCTTTTGCTAGTTCTTTCTTAATTCTTAAAAGGCAGTCTCCCAACATGACACTAAATTCTGTGTCTTCGTGATGTGTAAAAGAAAAATTTCATAGTTCCTCTCTTTTTTTCTTTCTCTGCAGTGCCATTAATAGCAGTGAACTCCATTACAATTGTGCTGCTCCTGTTGTTTGGCTGAAGATGATCTGTTGCTTTTGGACATCCAAAGAGGAAAGTTGCCAACTTGCCCCTACTTTTAGTTTTCTGGGATCCAACGTGGTTTAGCTGTCGGTTTGACATTCAGCTTATAGTAATAAAGGCACTATTTCTATTTATCTTATTTCCTAATGTTACCTTGCAGTTTTATTGAACAAGAGAATGGGATCAGTGCAAAAAGGCTGTAAATATTTTGGACTCCAACAAGTTCTACTGTGGCCTGTTAATAGCATTGACTGTTACAATATGCATTGTAACGTATTGCGGTGATTGTCAATGGGATGCGGTTTTTAATTGTCACTCAGGGATGGATTTCCTTCAGTACACTCCCAATTTATTTTTAAGTTTAAAAAAAAATCTAGTGTTTGTTATTTCATAGTTTATACCGCGGTACTATTTAATAGAGTATGAATTTGGCTCTAGAAATATTATAAACTATTGCAAATACAGTTGTGATTTTGAGAAAGCTAAAGTTAGATTGGGGTGGGGGGACTATTTCAGTTAAAATTATAAGTGGAATTTTACTGGCTAGGTTGAGGCTAGGATTTTTCTCTTGGTGCTTGATAGCTTTCTAGTACCAATGGTGTTTGATGCTTATGGCAAAATAGGTTGAAAATAGGTGCAATAGCTATGCAAAATCTCAAAGAGCTCTACCTAAATGCAGGCAACTCAGTGTTAATTTAGACTAGCAAGTGATCTTAGTAACTAGCATTTGTTACTATTCTTCCAAGGATCATTATTACTTTTTTAAGCACATGTTGAACTTTTGTGTAGCACTGTGTGTGTTGGAAGTGGGGACCCATTTGTATTCTGAGCTTTTGGGGCAACCTGGGAGAATATTGCACTGTTTTCAAACACAGTTCTTTTTTTCAAACAGCAAATTTGCAACCTCCATCCTGCCTCTTCATCTTCCTTAAAGTAAGGAGTTTCTGAAATTGATCCCCTGGGTTTGAACTTGCAGTTTCTTCTCAGACAGTTCTGCTAATCACTTTGATACAGATCTTGTTTCAGCAGAGGCTGCTGGGTCAGGTCCAATGTTTATAGCAACTCTGAATGCAAGAAAACCGATCCTCTTATACCTCTTCAGAAAAGCAAACCTTCCAATGTCTTTTCTATACCTTTCTGCTAGAGGGTGGCTAAAATTGTCTTTGCTTGTTTCTAGAAGTGGGAAGGGCTAGAGAAACCTGGTGGTTGCACCCTTTTAAAACAGCTTGATCGATCTTTTTCTGGTGTCTTTAAGACTAAAGTATATGTGGCTGTTGACAAAGATAAGTCTGTAAAATGTGTAAATGAATTTAATGGTCTTCAGTCACAATGTTTTGCAGAATAGACTATGTCCAGGAGGTATTTTTGTCTTTTTTTTTTTTTTGTGAAAATTGTAAATAAAAATTTAACTTCTGTGTTTAGCCCTCTGTTTCCTAACTTTCTGTATATCTGTGTACCGTATGTCAAAACTCAGCTTCAGCCTGTTCTAGATACCTAGATACCAAAATTACTGTTTTCATGCAAGATATCCCTTATTCCCGTAGCTCCAGCTCTCCACTATGACACAGTGTTTTGGTGTCACGTAGCAAACCCAATGGGTCTTAGTAACACTGGTTTGAAGCAGAACGTAATCATGCAATGTTTTAAATTCCAGAGGAGGAATTTACTTCAAAGCGTTTGTTTTATTTTAAATAACAATAACACAAGGGACAGCCCGTGAGATGAGCGTTCTCCCGCTCTCCGCCCGCCCTGGGGGCGCAGCGCCTCCCGCTCCCCTCACGCCGCGCGCCCTTTCCCCTCAGCGCTTCCCGCGCCGCG